GTGGGTGGGGCTGAGAGAGCTTGAGAAAACTGCTGTGGAGAGAACAGCTCTAAGAGAACTGTGACTGACCCAAGGTTACCCAGCTGGCTTCATGTGGAGGAGAAGTGGGGAATCAAACCCAGTTCTCCAGATTAGAATCCGCCGCTCTTAACCACTACATCAAACTGGCTCAAGCAAGCAAGCAAGCAAGCGAAGAACATCAAGGTCATGGCCTGTGTTTTTCTATTCCTTCCCCCACCCTCTTTTTAAAACATCCAGTCTAATGAAGTGTTCCGGAGAAGTCAAAAGTTTGCACCCCACTTTGTGCCATTTGGGTTCCCTTTAATAAAAACATATTACGTGGATTTTGCTTTGAACCAATATGGGTACCTGGAGATTCTATCTGATTTATGAGAAGAAATTTTGCCGCAGAGGGAAGTTGCAACTTGCAACTGGTAATCATAATAAGAAGGTAAAGCAGAGATAAGAAGGCTGGAACAAATCCTCCACCACACTTCTCTCTTTCCCCCCCTGGGGTGTGTGTGAGCAACAGTGTGAAAGAGAGTGCAAATTTCCATTTTAAACTTAAAAGCAAATGATTGACAGACAAGTTCAAAGAAAAAGTGGTACAGCCTGGATCAGGTGTTCTTTTCTTCCTGCTTTGAGAATATGAAGTGGGGGCACAAGGGAAGCAGTGAGTGAGACCCTAAAGCTATGTATGGGGCAGGTGTGGATTTTTTTTTTAAGGGGGGAGACTGTCACACATGAAACCCCCATGCTTCAAGGAGGCTACTCCCTTTGCTTTTTTTTTTTTAAAGGCCTGCTACACCCTTTCTTTTCAATCTGTTCCTAAATGATCTCTCCCCTTACCTGGAAGCTGCTGATGGCCATGCCCCTAAATTGGGTTCTGTCCATGTCCCTCTATTATTATATGCAGACGACATGGTACTACTGTCCTGCTCCAAAGTTGGCTTAAAGCATTTACTAAAGAGATGCCTTTCATATTTTACAAAAAGGCCTGCTAAGTTAAAGTGTTCGTTCAGTACTTCTTTTAGAAAGGGTTTGCTCCAAGAAGGCATGGGATGGGGGGTGAGTGGGAGGCTTTGCGACTGACACCACCGAGTGGCCAATCAACACTGCACCCATCTGGCTTCTGGTCAAGCTAGGGAGAGCATTTTCCCCTAAAGTCAATCGGGGGGGGGAGAAAGATGGCACATGCATGGCAACTGTAGCCAGCATGTTTCTGCAGCAGCATCACCGCGGCAGTTATGTCTGCCTGGACACACCCCAAGGCTCTTGCTAGGTCGAGCTTTCTTCCTGCTTAGCAAAATCAGAATGGATGCTTAGATTTGGCAAGACTGGATCAAGTTGTAGCCTGCAGCATATTATATAAACTCACATGGCATTTTGCATTTCTTCCAATGTATCAGGCCAACAAAAAGGTAAGTCATCTCCTCAGTCAGTACTGTCTGCTCAGAATGGCAGGAGCTCGCCCGGGTCTCAGGTAGAGGTTTTTCACACCTCTTACTGCCTGGTCCTTTTATCTGAAGATGCCAGGGATTGAACCCAGGACCTTCTGCATGCAAAGTAGAGGCTCTTCTATTATGCCATAGCCCCTCCCCCCAAAAGTATATATAGCTGCCTTTTACTGACCAGATCATTCGTCTATCAAGATCAATAATGTATACTCAGACTGGCAGCAGCTCTCCAGGTTCTCAAGTAGAGACCTTTCAATATCACCTGCCTTGATCCTTTTTACTGGAGATGCTGGGGATTGAACCTGGGACCTTCTGTATGCCAAGCAGATGCTCTACCACTGAGCCACAGCCCCTCCCCTGAGTCTCACTCATTTGCTGGGACCAAAGCAGCAAAGCCATCCTCCTCTTCTAAACAAGGGTTAATGTTGGGTACTTTCAAAATGTTAGCAGTCTGGTGGCTGTGATCGAGGACAGCATCCCTTCGACATCTGCCAATTCTCCCTGCTTAAATCCTGTGCGAGCAGGAAACGGATGTGGATCCAATAGGCCTTTTTCGTCTCTCCACCTTGGAGGAACAGCAAGGCACCAAGCCCTAATGAGTCTGGCTTTGAAACCCCGTGCCGAAAACAACAAAGTCAAAAGGGAGAGAACACTCACAGTTGCCGACTCCTGTTGGGTCGCCTGGGCTGCAAACCGAGCCACGTGATTAATGATGGGGGAGAAGTTGGTTGGTCCGTAAAAACGTATGTGAGGCAGGCAGCTGGAGTAGGCTTGGACGATGCCCTCCACACCTGGGCAGTGAAAAAAGAGGACCTGGTCAGCTTTGGGGATTCTCAGTGGTACACAAATCCACACCCTGGTTAAGCTTCTTTTTACACATTGAGGCTGGTCCTGCCACTTTAACCACATAGTATCCTTCTCCTTTTAACTCCCCCCCCCTCACTGTAGTCCCTCCCCTCTGATGTTTGCTTCTTCCCTTCTTCAGTTGTCTCTTCTGTACTGAAACTCAAGGCTTGAGATTCTGGCCCTTCAGAATATCCTTATCAAACGCAGATGCACTGAAATGCTCTTGATGCACGCACTGGCCCATCAGACCTTGTTAGCATGGCAGTGATGCACAGGTCCAGGCCACTGATAACTGATACTACAGTAAAGTATGACCAGGCCCATGTGGAGATCTTGCACAGGGAAGGGTTTTCCTCATCAGAGGCATCAAATTAAAATGGCCCAGGAGCCCAAGACAAGCTGAGCAAGAAAAGCTGCGTGGTCTACAAGTATGGTTGCCATTTCCAAGTTAGGAGATTCCTGGAGATGTGGGGGTGGAGCCTGGGGAGGGCAGAGTTTGGGGAGGGGAGGGAGCCCATCATGGGTGTGATGCCAGAGTTCACCCTCCAAATCTGCCACGGTCTCTAGGGGGCCTGATCCCTTTAGTATGGAGATGTTATTCAGGGGGATCTCCAGGCCTCACCTGGAAGTTGGCGACTCTATCTACAAGCCAGCACCACGGGAGGGCCTCTCAGTTCAGACCCAAGCAGCTATGCCAATGACTGACATTAGTTCACCCACTGCCTTCTTCTGTATCACCACCAAAAGAGCTGAGCTAATACTATTCATTGTTGCCACTGAAGGGTCTAAACCAAGGGGCCCCTATGGCATTGGTAGGATTACCAGGTCTGGCTCTGCTTCCTCCTGACTTCCAGTGGATCTCCAGGGAAGCAGTCCTCTGGGAACTTTCCCTGTCAGTGAAATGGCCAGTCTGCCCCTGATCGACATTATATCAAGAGTGCACCTTTAATAACATGCGCCACAAGTCATAGCCAGTCCAACTGCCAAACATTTCAAACTGCAGCAGGCAGAGACCAATAGATTTCCAATTTCCACCTCTCATTTTCTTTAACCACAATGCAGCAGAAAACTTCCTGGTGCACCACCAAACTTCAGAAGCCCATGTTCCCAGCGGCCTGCAGAAACCACTACTTGCGGTAGGGAACTGTTTAAAAACAACAACAACGCTTGTTACTTTGTGGGAAAGCTATCTAGATAGATAGATGTATTTATTACGGCATCGAGCCAACATAACCATAACACATTAGGATACAGAGTGTTAAAATCTGGGTAAAATGGACTAATATATATATTACCTGTCCGAGGTCCCATGCCTCCTGAAACCTCACCCTCTCCAGGCGCCATCCCACCTGGAGTTGGCAACCCTATCTCCTTCCCAGCCAATCATCAACCTACCTTTATTTCCCCCTCACTCTTCAGCTTTCCACCCCCTACACACCTGCAGCCTCTCCTGTGCTCTGAAGCCCTGACTGCTACGTCACATTGGCTGTCATACGGGGGCCACCTCAGCAGCATATAAGGATACAGAGCCCACCATTTTCTCCAGGGGAACTGATCTCTGGCATCTGGAAAGCAGTTGTAATTCTGAGTGATCTCCAGCCCTCACCTGGAGATTGGACACATTTTACTTCAGAACAGCAAACTGTTTAGAATGTTAGAGGCAAAAGCCAATCAAGTCGCATATACAAACGATCTCTGTGTTCCGAGGCAAAGCCCAATGAGGCTGCATATGCAAATAACCTCTGTGTTCTGACTGGCTATGGGGGGGGGAAGAGGAACAGCAAACTGTTTAGAATGTTGGAGGCGATACTCAAGCAATGCAGCCAGTGGATAGGGACAGATTCTGAGTGACACACCAGGGTGCCAACCAATTCCGGAGTGTGTGGAATGTTCTAGAGAAGTGCCACCACCATTCGGCTTTTATATATAATGGAGATATGACCATAAAAATATTTGACAAATCCAGTAAGAAATATAAAAGGCAAATACAATTTTATAAATTTAGCTGCAGCTTTCTAATACAATAGCATGCCACCCAAAATGTAGCCACAGATTCAGTAATAGTCCGATTTTCATTGGATAGCGATTGGTTACAACACTCCCAGTCTGTCTTTGTAAAGTCCTTTGTACTGTGCAGGGATGGAGGGCTCCATATAAATGAATGAATAAATGCATGAACAACAGAAATGGTAATAACTGTGTACCGTCAAGTCATAAGCGACATGGCAGCCTCAGGTCCATGGGGTTTTCAAGGCAAAGAGATGAGCAGAGGTAGTTTGCCATTTGCCTTCCTCTGCAATAGCAACCTCCGTCTGGTGCTCTCCCGTCTGACCACTAACCGTGGCCGGCCCTGCTTAGCTTCCATGCTCTGACAAGATCAGGCTAGACAGGGGTGTTCAGGCTGCTGTAACGAAGAGTGCCTGGCTTCCTCTTGGCTAAGGCTGAGCCCCAGCAGTTTCTGGCAGTGCCAGAGCTAAGGCATGGAATGTGTAGCGTGCCCATCAAGAACAGGGGTGGTCTTTCAGCATGTGTAAACGGCCTGTCACCAAATTCCCCTCCCCATTGTTCTGGGGTTAAGGGAAAGGCCAAGAGTGGGAGCTTTTAAGCAGGCATCTTTCTTATTGTTCAGGGGGAAAACCCTAAACTATAGGATGTATGGAAACAAGGCTCTGCTGGTCTCTGCATTTCTTTAGTCCAGAATTGGGATACTCCTGGGTAAAACAGCGGTGGTCGAAACCATTTGAATAGATACATATAACTAGGATGTGGAAGAGGAAAGCCAGGAAAGTTCCTCTGTGCACCAGACAGAGAGAGAGAGAGACAGACAGAGTGTCAGACAGACAGACAGAATTTACCTTTGTTTGGTTCATTTAAATGCCCACCTGGACTGGAATTAAAAAAACAGTCTAAGCTGAACACACACCTCAAAAATCAAGCTACTTTCTATCCCTGGAGACCCATCTTTTATGAAAAAGAAATGTAAATGTCTCCAACAGCTGGCTGGGCTTTGCAAAGGCTTCATGCTCAGCTCAGTCAGGAAGTTCATGGATTTGGGAAGGCTGAAGGCCTGTTCTTTTTTACTTCTCACATTGTTAATTCAGCTTATCCTCCGATGTATCAATCAGCTATGTATGTGAATACCTCTCAGTGCTCTCAGACTTATTTTGCATATCCCAAGTGTAGACTGTTTTGCTATAAACTTGCACTCATGAAGGACTGGGCTATCAACAGATGTTCATTATGCCAGCTAAGTAGAGACTCTATTTGTTTATTTCAAAAATATAATAAAATATACTGAACAGCAGCAAAACAAACAACTTGTAGAACTTCCACTGCTCAGAAACTGTAAACTAGCACAAAACTAAACAATAACAACAAAAAAACAGAATACTTCCCGCAAGAGCCATCACTGTGAATATCAGCCAGTAAATGCCCATTGAAATGCAACCGCAACACAGAATGGGAAATCCTGCCAGAGAAAATACTTTACCCACATCCTTATGGCCAAACTAGATGCAACGGCAAACTCCTGTCCACCATGGGGCCACTGCTGCCTTTCAAAGTGGTGCCACATGGACCCAGTCCTGCTTGGACCTACAGCACGGCAGGTTGAGATACTCTTGTTTCTCTCCCACCTCAGCCTTTTCAAGTGCCAAAACTGATGTGGGGGTGGGGGGTGGTAGTGCAGCCATTTCAGAACTGGGAAAGGCACATGGGTGGGGCAGAAACAAAAATGCTCAGCCCACCGCACAGTGGGCCCAATCAGGATCGGGCAGTTGCAGCATCTTTAAACCACTTTAAAAATGGTAGACATGCAGACACTGCCACGTCTAGTGTGGTCCTCAGCTATCCCTGGAGGTGGGGGGTTTACATGCATGAAATCTGTTACTTTCACAGAAGCCAAACAAACTGCTTGGAACAAGAGGACCCCATGACAACAACTGTTGACCTGAACAGATTTGGTGAACACATCTATATAGGGAAAGATGGTCTTTCACATATGAAGGTTTTGGGTCCTGAAGTGCTTTGAAGATCAAACTGGATCCTGGAGACAAATTGGCAGTCAGTGAATTTGCTATCAAATCAGGATGATATGGGAGAATGTCCAGGACCAACCAGAAGCTGGGCTCCTGCACACTGCACAAGTAGAGCTACTTTCAAGGGCAGCCCCGCGAAGAATGTCCAGTCTGGCTTTACAGAGGCATAGATTATGATGGCCAAGTCAGCAGTGTCAGGATGAGAGTTTCCTAGTAAGATGCAACTGACAGAAGGCACTCCTAGCAGTTGTGACAACATGATGCTAAAAGATTTGGAAGCAGCAGTGCTCCCAAATTTTCCTCCTGTTCCAACAGAGTCAAATTGATTGCCTCTAGGACAAGTGGATATATCCTTTCAAGAGCATCTGCTTTCCTAACCAAAATCACCTTTCGGTTTGTTTAGCTTCATCCACCTGATCCAAGACAAAGACCCCTTTAGAATCATAGAGTCATAGAGTTGGAAGGGACCTCCAGGGTCATCTAGTCCAACTTTAGCTGAAGGGCTTGGAGAAAGAAATACAGAGGTGGGCGTTATCAACATTCTGACGACAGCCAGCTCTAAAGCTTTGGAAGTCACATGTGAAATGATAGGTGGGAAGTTTGTGACTTTTCTCTGTGATATGGAGGCTCATCGGAACTGAGACATAATGATAATACTGGTTAGTTCCTTCCCTTCCTTATTTCCTACTAACAAACTCATGAAGTTATTCTGCTATTTCAGAGCACTGATTTGGTCAGGTAGCTGTTGGATGGTTTACAGATCAGCCAGACAAAGATGCTGTGAAACTAGTGATTAGATTTTCCCAGTGCTTTTTGGATCATAATTCTAGCCATGCAAGAGCCCAATGACAACTGGAGCTATTGGGCATGGGTGGGTGGGTGGTTTAACCCCTTCAAAACTGGTCTCCCAATGCTGTTACAGCGCTAACAAAAAAAGCCTTGCAGAAGACTAATAGCATGATTTCAAATAGCAAAACCATATGGGGATGGATGGATTAAACCCTCTCTAGCCTCCCCACACAGGCCTGATCCAAACTGGGGGCCTGCATCTTTGAAAGGCTGACACAGATAGCAGATTTCTAGTTTAACTGCAAGTCAACCTTAATTTTTAATCACAATTGTAGACTTTGGGTTAACTTTATTTGCTGTTTCACAGCCTTTAAATCACATTGATTCTTCTCTAGTTACTCCTGGCCTGGTATAATTTATGTTTATACACTTGGGTTGATTCCTTCTGAGAAATCACTCAGCATTACAGCTTTATGATCTGTATCTTATCTTGTTGAAATGATGAAGAGGTCAAAATGCTTTGGATTCCCAGATAGTATTGTCTGGGAAAAAAGTTCTAATTCTATACTTAAAACACTGCTGTGAAATTCTGGGCATCCACAGGCAAGGAACTAAAGATATCCAGAGACCTGAATTTTCACCAGCCTCTTGAAAAACAAAAGCAAGTGTATGAATCAGCAAATTGCCTTCTTAGACCTTTCACTTATTTTTCCAATCATAGCAGCATATACTTACCAAGGCAGAATGGGTTGGTAGGGTTGAAGTTAATGGCAAACTCATGAGAAACCTGGAAAAGAAAAAGGAGGGATTTAAACTTACCCACCTTGCAAAAGGCAGATGGAAATGCAAGTGACATCCAGCTTCTGGGGAATGTCTCCCCAAGTGTTCATGCAATTCCAGAGTGTGTTGAACCAGACATGCAGGAGATGTTCCCTACCACTGTACCCCAAAAAGATCACGTAACATGGCACTGGACTAGGGGTGTGCAAAAAAACTCTTAGTATTTTTCGGGTTCGGATTTATTGAACCTGAAAAAATAGGTATTTCTCAATATTCCCAAACCCCAATACTGGTATGGTATTTGGATTCGGGAAATATGCAGGAAACTCATGGTCCCCATAGGGTATAATGAAGAATCTGGGATTATCTGGGGGTATCTGGGGCCTGTTTTTGGACAAATTGCAGCATGGCCGCTGGTGCCTCTCCTCAACCCTCCCCCCTGAAGTTTAACAAAGATTGGACCAGGGGGTCCAATTCTATGGGCTCCCAAAGAAGGTGCCCCCATCCTCTATTGATTTCAATGCCTTCAGAGTTCTCCAAGCTGTGGAGTTGTGCACCTTGGAGAAGGTATTTTAAAGGACCGCAGTCCCTTTAAATGCCCTTTGTTTCTTTATCCGGTAGTCCTGAAAACCCTGAATATTTTGGGGATTATGGGGGCTTGGCCATTTCAGATAGATGAACAATATTCAGAATCTAAATCCGGCTTAATCAGTACCAGAAAAATACCGATAAGATACTTTCAGTGTATTTTTTCGGCTCTGATATAGCCAAATGCACACCCCTACACCCCTACACCGGACAATCATCAGCTTCCACTAACTTGTTCACGCAACAAGGCAGGGAACAGAGACCATTGGAAGGCACAACTGTGTTACATGGGGTAAACCCATCTCTTACGATGCCCTTTTTTCTCAAGGGCTTCTGCAAACTGAAGCCTACAGAAACTGCTACATGAACACACCTTAAGAATGGAGGCTTAGTTGCATTTCATTTCATTTTGATCCCTAAGCCAACAAAATATGAATCTCATGTTTCCCCATACATAAGCTCTATTTTCCTCCCAGAACTGCAGGCTCAGAGTTATTGACCACAGAGGGTTGAATCCTTTGAGCTATCCAACTCAATCACACCTCAGTGTAGCCCCCTTCTCACATGGCTTTTGTTCTAATGGGTCCCACGATCCTCAGCAAAGACCTTTTGGTAAAAACTCTTCCTCCGTCTATTGCCAGTGGAAAAGCTGGAAGTATCCTCCCCAGAATTTCCTCACACCTTGAAATATTTAAGCCAGTTAAAGGGACAGACACACACATACACACCCTGAAAGAGAAATGTCAAGTGGCCAGGTGAACACAATCCCCTCTTCTCCAGGGGTGAAGCTGTCTCCACTACAGCATTAACCCTGTGGGGGGAGTGCACGTGTACATTAAAAAAAAAAATCTATGGGAATTTTTACAGGATTTTGCAGTCCTTCTTCCCGGCTCCTCCAGAGAAGCTCACTTGAGGTTTCTTTTTACAGAGCTGCTAGCATTTCAAGATGTTCTCTGACATTTCCAACGCAACCTTTTTTTTTTGCCTGCAAAATATCTTATTCATATCAGTTCTTTGAAAGTGCTTTGTGGTACCATAGCAACAAGAGCATTAACAGAACAAAGCATGATTTATATGTCTCTTATCTTTAATGATCATCCCCAGTTTCAATGCTGGTCACCGCTGTACAATAGCCACACATTGGGGCGTTGCCACGCACTTGCCCCCATTGGAGTGACAGACTGCCGTCCACAAAGATGCGGCAAAAAATTTAAAAGCAAACATTCTCCAAAGGAAGAGGGAGAAAGAGTTCACAGAAGCTTGTTCAAAATAACATTCTTAGGTCGCTGGATTCTGCACTGCAATTTTCTTTTAAAAACTCTTCAATGAGCAAAGACTGGCCTTGAGAACTGAATAAATTATGCCCACAAAGTGCAAGTTGAAGACAGTATACTGGTTTTTCCTCACTTCCTCTCTGATTGACTCTCAGTCCAATTTACAAAATATATACTTTTTATTGGCAAATAGAGATCAGTCAGCCATAAAAAGGTAGTGTCTTTTGCACTGTTAGATGAAGTTGCAAGGAATCAAGGCACAGGACATTTGTATTCAGCATCTTCAGTTCATTTATTTAGGTATTTACACCCCAATGGGGACACAAATAAGCTTATTACATTAGTCTCCCCTCTTCCAATGCAGAGTGAAGATCTTATCCTGGATCTTCCAGATCCTAGTCCGACTCTTTAAACCACCACATCACGCTGGCTTTCCATTTTTATTTGACAGCAGCTGAAGGGGGGTGAGTTGGATCAGGGCTATGGTGCTGGGGTAGGGGGGTTAATACTTTCCCTTGTATTATTTCACAGAAATTGGGAAACTGCCCCCCCCCCCCCACACACACACAAAGGCTATCTAATGAAAAGTTTATGTTAGTCTGGAGCTAGAAGTTGGTTGGGGATTTATCGGTGGGACATGGCATCAAGAAGAAGGGTTAATGCTTTGGGCCAATGCTTGGTCCTGCTCCAACTCCCCCCCCCCAGGTGTTTTAATAATAGCCCCAAAGCTATCTGGCTGGCCTTGACCAGGGTGGAACTCTCTGCTGAATGACATCCGTGCCCTGTCTGGCCTGCAAGGCATGTAAGGCAGAGATGTTCCGCCAGGCCTTTGGCTGAGGCCAGCGAGGGTTCCTTACATCTGCCTGGCACCCTCCTCCCATGACTGAATGCTAGCACTGCCGTCTTGTTTTAAGATGTCTGTCAATGTTTAAATGTGTTGAATGTTTTCAAATACTGAATTTTTATGGTTTTAATTGATTTGATAATGTACTGAATTAATTGCTGTAAACTGCTTTGAGTTCCGCGCAAGAGGGGAAGGGCGGTTAAGGAATCTAATCTAATAAATAAATAAATAAAAACCAAAACTACTCAACATTCAGATAGCACTTTCAGTGTCCAAAAGCTTCACATTTATTATGACAATAATCTTTGCAACCACCTAATTAGGTATTCTTTTCCACATACTGCTGACTGGAAAATACACACGCTAACAACTAAAAATGAAGACTCAGGAAACCTTGTCACAGCCCCCCCCCCTAGTTGTGCCTCAAAAGACGAAGACAACACCTTTCAAAATAGGGCAATGCTAAACAGAGTTATGCCTTTCTAACCCGACAAAGCCAACAGGTTTAGAAGGATGCCTCTCTGCTTGGGTTGACCTGAGCATTCCTTTGACAGACAGTCTTAAGGGCACTGTTTTTTAAAAAAATAAATTAACTTATTTGCTCTCTTTTACAGATTTCTATTTAGATATACCATGCAAATTAGCTTTGCAAATTCCACATGTGACCTCTGAGCAAGGCAATAAAACAACATTAATTCAAAATCTGCATGCTTGGCAGGACGTGATGAAAAATTTGAAACGGCTTGTTATGAACTTTGTGCATTAGAGAAGGTGATAAGGAATAGGTCAGAACTTCCAGAATAACCCTAATTTTGCCCTGACCTGGATAGCCCAGGCAAGCCCAATCTTGTCAGATCTTGGAAGCTAAGCAGAGCCAACCCCAGCAAGTATTGGAAGGGGGACCTCCAAGGAATACCAGGGTCGGGACACAGAGTCAGACAATCAAGCGACCTCTCTTAAAAATGTCCTAGCCTCACTAGGGGTCACCAGAAGTCACCATGACTTCCAGGCTCACAAGCACACACACACACACACACAAACAAAAAACAAAACAAAAAACCCCCACCAGAATAACCCTAATCTCAAGAGAGCAGCTGCCAGTCAGAGCAGACAATATTGAGCTGGATGGACCAATGGTGTGACCTGGTATAAGGCAGCCTCAGATGTATCCAAACACAAAGTTCATGCTGGGCCTTGAACTGGTGACCTTAGGCATCTCAGGCAGGTTGTTAAGCAAGTGTGCTACTACCCAGGTCTGGCCAAAGAAAGGAATTCTAGAGAGAGAAACCACATTAGCCAAGGACTCCTCCTTACACCAACTAGCCTGAGTGTATCAGCGGGTACTCCTTGAGGCATATTTATTTACTAATGTTATCTATAGTCCACCTTTCTCACTTGGACTCAAGGCAGATTACACAGAGAGAGTCAATACAATACAGGATGGGGCATTCAATAAATAGTAAAATAAGATCTGGGTTGTAGAACTAATTGGAAATCTAAAAAAACAGAACTGAAGCAAAGCATGATGCCTTAAATGATGTAAGATTACAAAGTAGGATCCAATTTACAGGAAAATGTACACAGTAATATAATAATTAATCCCCAATAATTTGTCCAAGTAACTTTGAGAACTACTTTGTACAGTGCTATCCTGTTGGCATAGTCTGCAGAAAGCCAGGAGAGTTGAAGCTTTCCCGACCTCCTCAGGCAGACCATTCCACAAGGTGGTGGCCACAATGGAGAAGGCACACGTACGGACAGTGGTTGATCTTGCCCGTCTGCAGGAAGCTTTGGAGCCATGCCTGCTCACTGAGCGAAGCAATAAGAAGATTTGCTCTTGTTGCACACAGACTGCCTTCACCACATGCTGCAAAGATCCAAAGCTCCTTGTTCTGTGGGAAGTTCAAGGCAGTTTCCTTTGGAAGATGAATCTTTCTTTCTTTCTTTCTTTCTTTCTTTCTTTCTTTCTTTCTTTCTTTCTTTCTTTCTTTCTTTCTTTCTTTCTTTCTTTCTTTCTCTTATTACATTTATACCCCGCCCTGCCTGCAAGCAGGCTCAGGGCGGCTTACAATTTACATTTCTACCCCGCCCTGCCTGCCAGCAGGCTCAGGGCGGCTTACAATAGGGCACCATGTGCCAAAGCATAAAACAACATAAAAACAGGATATTATCTATGGCATGAGAAGGAGCCATGAGGCTCACCCATCCACTCTCTGCTGTCACCAGGTCAGTAGTTTGAAGGCCAAACTGGACGTAACACCTATTTCATGGCTGCCATGGGAACGTGCTGTCACACAAAAGCTGTAAATTTCCTATAGGAACTCAGTCCTGATGTGTTGCAGGAGCCTGATCTGGACCAGGACTGTGGGGGGGAGGGTAGAGGGGGTTCAACTTTTAACCTCCCCCACCATTTTCCTGAGCTGAAATGATTCTGGAGGAGCACTGAGGGCCTGCTTCTGCAAGCTGTATGTTTCTGTAGTGGCCATGATACAGATGTCACATCTAATTTGACCCTAAGCCAGTGGGTTAGAAGCTGGAAGTACAGGAAACCCCAGAGAAGGCATGCCTGACTCTTGCCTGGCTCTTGATCTCTCAGGAGGAAGATGTCTGCTCTTCCATTACCAGGAAACTACAAAAAGCAAGCTGTTCAACAAACCATGGCTTGTGAATGTGTCTCAGCAAACTGCAGTTAGGACGATCTGCAATTCTCAAACTAGCCACGAAACTCAATTTAAGAAAACATCAGTCAGACTGCCTATATGACAAACAAAGTTTGCATCCACACACCAGATAATATTGTGTTGTTGTGCTGTCAAAATCATTCACATTCTGGATTGTCTCATCCACACAGGAAAATCCAGTTGCAAATGATTGCTGTAGTGCAATACATTGCGCTATCCCAGGATGTGTCAATGCCTCCCAGGGCTTAATCAAACCACGGTCGTTTCACCAGGGGATGAGGAAGAACTTTCATGTTACATAACAAACACCTTCTGTCCCAAATCCCATCCCATCCTCTCTCCCCAAAATGAATTCCCCAACTCGCATACTGCTCAAATGCACTCAGTGCTTTTTTGCTTGGCCACAGAATTCAGAAAAAGTCACTGAAAACTTCATTCAAACCCCTCATATAGATTTGGACACATTAAACATGAAAATACACACAGTTGTGGAAACAAATTTACCTTCCAGTCTGGTGGCAACTGGGCACCAAATCCCACATCTGGCTGATGTTCATGCGAAGCGCATGCACGCTGAAGACACCGTCCGGGAGCCCCCCGCCGCAGAAGAAAAAGGACCTGGCAACCCTACTCCCCAGAATGAATTCCCCAACTCACATACTGCTCAAATGCACTCAGTGCTTTTTTGCTTGGCCACAGAATTCAGAAAAAGTCACTGAAAACTTCATTCAAACCCCTCATATAGATTTGGACACATTAAACATGAAAATACACACAGTTGTGGAAACAAATTTACCTTCCAGTCTGGTGGCAACTGGGCACCAAATCCCAAGGCAGGAAACATTTTATCTCTACAAAAATATTGGGGGGGGGGGGGGGGGGATCCCGGCCAAACGGCGTCCAAGCTACGTTAAAAACAAAAGACTAATGCCGCTAAAATTAGACTGGAGTCGTTCCTCTGGCGGGGCCTGGCTTGAGTTCCCTCCCCCCCCCTCACCCCACTTCGACATCACTGGAACTGTTTCCCCCTGAGAAAGACAGAGAGAGAGAAAGGGAAAGGGGGGAAAAGGAATATAATTAGAAACTGCATATGAGGAAAACTGCTCACACCCTCTACAGGCCTCCAGTCGAGGCTGCACAACTCAGAATCCTCTCGGAAGCAAAGCTAGAAGAACCACAGGGGTCAAAGTTTGGGAGAAGACACTTAACAGCATGGCATTTTCAAGATATACCTGAGCAATGTGGGAACTGGCAGGCTGCTGACCGCGTGGTCCCTTGGTGGCCATGCGCATGCCCTGGCACAGATGCACACTAAAGACAACAATGTGTTTCTTCTCCACTCAGTGATCTGATTTCAAGGGACCCTAACAACTGCCTGTACACGTGCATTCTTTGTTGCGGGCCCAATTTTGTGGACAGGCCTGCCTGAGGAGGTCAGGATGGCCCGCACGCTTCTGTCACTCCACAAATTTGGTAAAACAGAACCATTCAGGATGACATTTCTATAAAAAAAAATTGGGGGGGGGGGGGTTGGATATAAAAGAATGAGAGAACAAAGGAGAAAATGAATGTGGATTCCCAGATGCCTCCCTACCAGCCTACCCTCAAAACAATATCATGAACAAAACAAGATTATTTCAGTTACAAAACTATATGCATTTTAATATGTAAGTTGAATTAGCATGTATAAGAAGTTTAATGCTAAAAAATATAAATTGTGCAGAAAAGGGAGAAAACTAGAAAAATAGCCAGCTTGCTACAAAACCTTATAACTGAATCTCTGCCCACCTGATTCTTGTGGGTTACCTTTCTATGACTGACCTTGCCCAGAGACAGAAGCCAACTCTTAGGCTGAACTAAATGTTACACTCTGTACGAGTTCTCCACAAAGACTTGCAGCTACAGTATGATTGCAAGTCCCTGGTGCTGATGCTGAATTTTTGTTTTGTAAGCTGCTTTGGTTCCCCAGTGGGGATTAAGGTAAAGGTAAAGGTTCCCTTGCTCGAAAGCCAGTCGAATCCGACTCTAGGGTTGCGGTGCTCATCTCCGTTTCCAAGCCGAAGAGCCAGCGCTGTCCGAAGACGTTTCTGTGGTCATGTGGCCGGCATGACTAAACACCAAGGCGCACGGAACGCTGTTACCTTCCCACCGAAGTGGTACCTATTTATCTACTTGCAATTTCTTGCTTTCAAACTGCTAGGTTGGCAGGAGCTGGAACTAGAGATGGGTGCTCACTCCATCATGCGGCACCTGGGTCTCGAACTGCTGAACTACTGACCTTCCACAGCCTGCAGTTCAGCGTCTTAACCACTTGAGCCACCGCAGCTCCTAGTGGGGATTAAAGCAGCATATAAATGATTAAATAATCAAATTTCTGCAGCTGCAGATCAAGACAAAGTGTCAAAGAGATATACAGAGTACTGATGTTCCACTGCACTGAAGTTCTTCTCTGGCTTTTGAAACCTGATTATGCATTTTGTTTATTTCCCCATGATCGTAAGAGCTTGAAACTTTGGAGGTGGGGGAGTCCTGAATAGTGTGCCAGATAACAAATTTGAAATGGAATACACAGACCCGTGGATCTCACATACGGTATCTCTGAGATGGGGTTTTAATAGCTGTAAACTGCTTTGGGGATTAAACTCGGCCGAAAAGCAAGGTATAACCAAAATGAATAAGTAATACACAGAGCTCCGTAAATAGCACTGATAGACCATCTAATGTGAAAAGGAGCAGCATGGAGAATTCAGTGGGGAATGGAGGAAAAGAAGAAGAGGCATCCTGGCACAGAGCAAGATCAATTTACTCCAGTGTTCTCTTGCCAAAGAGGCCAGTCAAGGCACAATGTTTTTCCCTGTGGTATTTGAGTATACTGCCTCTGAACTTAGAGGTTTCATTTATTTGTTTTTATATTATTTAGAAAATTCATACGCTTCCTCTCCAGACTCCTTGGAGTGCTAATGATTAAAAAAACTGTAATTGCATTAAAGCAATATAAAGTACTAACACATCAGGAACAAAACCATCATAAAACGCTAAAGCATCAGCAATAAAATCAGTAACAGAATCATCATAAAGCACTACAGCATCAGCAATAAAATCAGCAACAGTGGTTCTAACCGTCTTGAATCCCCAGAAATCACTGCAATATGTAACTGAACATATTGAAGAATTTGGATCCCTATCAGGCTATAAAATTAACAGAAAAACAAACAAAAATGATAATGAAATTTTTAACACAACAACAAGAAGTTATAAAGAGCACAAAGTGCTCAATAGCCAATGACCCTATTAAATATTTGGGAATAAATGACTGAGCAAAACTGTAATCTTTTTAAAAATAACTACCAGAAAATTTGGAAATCAATTCAAGCAGATTTATTAAGATGAAAAAAACTACAAATCTCATGGCTGGGAAGAATCTTTACAATTAAAATGAATGTGCTGCCAAAACTAAACTTTTTGTTCCTAATGTTACCCATATACACAGAAGACAGATAAATGAATTTATATTAAATGGCAGAGCACCAAGAATAAGCTTCAAAATATTACAACATGAGAAAAAGAGAGGAAGTTTAGCAGTCCCAAATATAAAATTATATTACCAAGCAGCAGGTCTGGTCTGGATTGTGGATTGGATTAAAAACCCAAGAAAAAGAATAGTAAAATTAGAATCAGCAGTTACTGATGAAGGCCTAAATTACTTATGGATTAAGAAATCGAATAAAAAGATCATAACTCAAGAAAGAAGTCACGTAATCAGAGATGGACTTTTGAGAATATGATTTACACACTAGATTTTATTGAGCCCCTCAAATTCTTTGCTTATATTCCCAATAGAGGTTCATTATGATAAGAATATGAGAAATAAAAATGATTTTGTAATTTATGGCATGATGATAAACACTCAGGGAAAAATCAAGTCTTGGTAAGATCTTAAAAATGAAGTTGTAAACATTCAATGGCTGATATATTATCAATTAGAGTAAAGGAGATCATGAGTATTGAAGCTGGAGTTCTAAGATATGCAACTGAATTTGAGCCCCACTGCTGGACCTCCTGATGGCACCTGGTATTTTTGGCCACTGTGTGACAGAGTGTTGGACTGCACAGGCCACTGGCCTGATCCAACATTGGCTTCTCTTATTTATTTATTTATTCATTCATTTATTCATTCATTCAATTTCTATACCGCTCAATCCCGGAGGCTTATGAGCAGCTGATTATAATATAAAAAGAGCATTTACTAAAAGGATATATAAGCTTTTACTCCAGGTAGAAACAGAAGATGAACAAGTGAAAAAATGTATGATTAAGTGGATGCAAAATCTTATAGAACAGATATCTACACAACAGTGGGAATGACTATGGGGAAAAGATATCAAATTTACAGTCAGCCAGACACTAAGAGAAAACTGGTACAAAATGTATTTCAGATGGTATATAACTCCAAAGGACATTGATAAAGCACACAAAAACTATGAAGGAAAATACTGGAAATGTCAAGACACAGATGGAACCTTTTCATACATGGTGGACTTGTAAAAAAGCAAAAAGATATTGGAAAGAAGTACACTGAAAAATGCAGAATATATTAAAGTTTAAATTCCCAATGGAAGCCAAGTAGTGTTCTGCCTAACAAATCATCAAAAATGTTGGAAGAGCTATTCAAACACATGGTGACAGTGACTAAAAGTATTTTTGCAGCAAAATGGAAACTAGACGTCTGTCCCATTTAGAAGAATGGGAAAATAAACTTGCTGAATATGCAGTAATGGCAAAATTAACAACTTATTTGAGAAACAGGTTTATTATGACATCTGAGGGGAAATGGAGCATGTATTATGTGTATTATGCTAGCAGGAGACAAACTTAAAGTGAGAACATATATTCAAATGTATGGTAAAGAAATAGAAGTAGAATTAAAATCTGTTCCAAATGTAATATCCCAAATACAAATGAGTTCTCTATATGAGATATATAATAAGCTTTCTTTTACACTGTGCTATACTACTTATGTATTAACAGTTCTAATGAATATGTAGAAGTGGCAAAAATATGTTGAATACATAGTAATGATGAAACCAGTGTAGTCAAAATAGATGAGTTATGAAGTTTGAAACTTAAAACTTAAATGATGAATACAACTGTACCCCAGCAGAAATGAATTGTATTTTATAGATAATACCTTAAAATTATAATGAAGGGGATGAAAAGGAAATTGTTCTTTGTCCAAAAATTATGTACCACATGATTGTCTTCGACAAATATAATTATATTGTATAACCCATTTTTCCCTTTTCCCCTTTTATTTTCTGTACCCATGCTGTTTTTCTAAAATAAAATTTAAAAAATAAAATCAGCAACAGAACCATCATAAAGCACAAAAGCATCAGCAATAAAACATCATAAAAGAGATCTCAGTACTAGAAGCTTGAGTTTCATGGCTGGTAACCAGGGATACGACCTATTCCTCTAAGGATTAGCAAGCTTAGTCCAAGCAGGGGGAAAAGAACGTACGTGTCATAGTCCTGGATGATCTGCCCCACGGCCCAAATGGCTGAAAGGTATTCGTTTGTTCCCATGGGGTTAATGTAGTGTAAAGAGGTGGGGTCCCGGGGATTCCCGTTGGATGCCGTGAAGTCAACTCCGACCTGAAAGGAAGGAAAAAAGCCACCCTTATTTGCAGCCCATCTCTGTAGGAAGCTCTGCAGGCTGGAAAAAGTTATTTATGGGAGTTGAAAGCTAATCTGGACATTTACACTTACCTTGCCGGCGGGGGACTCCCGTGCAGATCCCGGCGCACTGCATGCACGTCACAGGGAAGTGCACGTCACAGGAAAACCATAGAGTTTTCCCTTGTATGGCCGTGGCCCCGCCCCCAGCGTGCCTGGCATCATGACGTCACTTCCCTGTGACGTGCACGCTGGGGCAGGGTTCCCCCCGGGGCCCGATTCCCCGGCGTCGGGGAACGGGCCTCTGGGGCGGGGGGGGTTCCGCCCCCCGGGGGGACTTGGCAGCCCTATTTTAATTGCAGCAGAGCTGGTTTGAAAAGGTCATTGCCAACCTGATAACAAATGTTCATTTTAATGTCCTAGAGCACAATCTTATCATTTAAAATCTATACCATGGCCTTTCCTCGATAAAAAGTTCCCTCTATCCACTTTCTCCACCCCATTCATAATTTTATAAACTTCTACCATTAGCTTCCTTTTTTGTAGGCTGAAAAGTCCCAGAATCTCCAGCATTTTTTAATAGAAAAGGTGATCCAACCTCTAATCATCTTGTTTGATCTCCTTTTATACTTGTTCCAACTCTGCAATAGTGAGCCTTGTTTCACAGGGGAGGGCGGTCTATAAGCCAAATTTATCGATTAATAAATAAATATCTTCCTTGACATACGGAAACCAGAACTGCACACAGTTTTCCAGACAAGGGCATTGCAATACCGGCTGTTTTATTTACAATCCATTTCCTAGTAATTCCTTGACTGGCGTCCATACAGAGGAGGACGGTGCCAACATACTCACACTCCAAGAGGCTGCAAAGGATGCTTTCTTTCCTTTTATCCCCTTAGAAACACATTGATTCACAGAGCTTGAGCAGCAGAAGATACTTTTCTTTTCTTCTTTTTTTGATGCAAGGGCTACAATGTTTGAGACAAATTTGCAGTTGCTAGAGTAAACTTAGGATCCTTATCGCTGAGCAAAAGAGCCAGGGTTTCCAGAGTGTAGGGGGAGGATTGGTTGATTAAAGGCTTAATATAGTGATCCCTTATAGTTTCAAACACCTGCATTCAAGCAGGGCATGGAAGGACATATCCTATTAAGGCCACAAGGGCAGATTCAGTCAGAATAGGGACTATCCGAAAATCTCCCCTGTAAAACCATTGGAGGACTGATATTCAATCTTGCAAACAAAAAAAGTGCTACAATAACATTGGATGGTAAGATAGTACATATAGGGGGGTAAAGATCTTGGGAAAGAAAGACCAAAAGATAGGGGTGAGCAAACTCTGCAGGCTCTCAGGATCAGACTACTATAATTGATTTTTAGGACATGCTTTTTGATCAGAGAAAATGCTTTGGATTTGCCCATCTCAAAAGTATCATTAATTGACATTCCACATATCATCAATTTCTCATCCAGAGCTTTCATCCAAGCCGATTTGTGGGTATCTCGATTTAGAGTGGCTAGCAAACTATCTTGGGCACAGAGCTGTTTTAATCTCAGTTTAAAGGCATAAAACCATGCTTTGGCTTCCAAGGATATCTGTCCAAATTCTGCCCACAATACAACATTTGACACACAGCAGGGAATATTCAGTATTTCCCTTAAAATTGGGGTAAGGGTTGATCGATGTTATTGGAGATAGCTTTAATCCAAATAGCTGAGCCATAAAGGATGAGTGGAACCACTTTCAAATTAAAAGCTTGCACCACTCCAGGAATATATTCCTTCACCCCTTATAATGGAAGAACCTATTTATGGTGCTTGCACATGAGTTAGCTTTATTAAGCATTGTTCAAGTTGGGGGGGGGTGTCCAAGACAGATCTGCTGAAAACAAAATCCCAAAATGGGAGAAAGTCTTGACTTGCTCAATATTAGACCCATTGACAGACCATTGAGATGGGTTCCATTTTCTGGTCTTGGTGAAAACAAGGATCTTAGATTACAAATAGTTGATCACCAGGCTTTCTCAAGAGCAATAATTAGAAAAAGATTGTAAGGCCCTTTGCAGCCAAACAAAGGATGTTTCCAAGATGGTGGTTTAATTGTTCAATCCCAATTCAGTCCCTCTCAGAGAACAGAGTTTGGAACTGTATGTCTTACATATATACTGCTTCTTCACTATGTTCTCAAATCACAGCACTAACTATCACTTTGCACAAACCAACAGGAAGACAAGGAGTACCAAGTAGGACAATATAGTGTTATTGCATGACCACGCCCACAGCCAGGATATTGCAGCTTGTGGGGCAAAAAAATTTCTGATGGGGCTGCCATTATTTGCTATAATGAAGGGGGGAGGCACACGCCCCTCTCCCTCCCCTCCTGCAAGATTTAAAGGGTTCTCCAGCTGATCAGTGGGCCATGGCTCCCCATGGATCAGCTGAAAGGTCCTTGAAAACTTGCAGGAGGGGAAAGTGTGTGCCACCTCCACACACACTTCTTATCAAAGGCGGGGGAGCCTTTAAGAAGCAGGGGGCTTTAAGGAAGGGGGCTGGCCCTTTAAGGAAGGGGGCGGAGCCCCCAATAGCCCCACCATAGCTATGGCCCAGGGCATGACCCTGATACCTGCCACAAAGGCACTCCCGATACTTGCTGGCTAAAGCTTTGGACAGATGATTCCCTGCTTTCGGCACTTGCTTATTTGGCTGTCAGATAAGCCACTATTCTCCTCTTTTGTGCCAGCAAGCTGTGATGCAATAGTTTGGCTGTGTGTGTAATGCACTTGTACTCATCCCGGTTTCTATGACAACTCTTCCTCCCTTCCCCTTTATGTCTCTGTAGCCCAAGAACAACAAACAAAAATGTAAATGCTCAGAGTGTGCATGTGTGTGCAAATGTAGACACAAAACCCTGTGTGCTGTATTCAGAAACAGAAGTTGAGGGCAACTGGGCGAGGGGGAACACTGTGCAAAATTCACGTTACAAAGAACCACATCGTTTCCTCAGCACAGATCCCATAAAGGGAACTGGCATGCAGCAAAATTCACGTTACAAAGAACCACATCATTTCCTCAGCAGTTCCCATAAAGTGAATGCGGGAAGGGGGATGCAATGTCTCTGGTGCCATGGAAATTACACATTTCGCAAACCTCCCAGGAGGACGTGGAACTTTTAAGGAAGACTGTCTCAGTAAAATTAATACCAGGCCAACCATAAACCAGAGATTCCCCTAGGAAAAGAACCAGAAGGATGACCTTCTTCTTGGGTCAACTCCAGCACTCATTTGAGATGTCAGATGGTTCCAGTCTACACTTACAGAGTTATTGATTCTGCTTAACCTCAAGAATAAGACGTGCAAAAAGAAGTCAGGGGATACGCCCATGGGATTAATATCCCCCAAAGTGTTAGGGCCTTTCTACACTCTTGTTTTTGCACAGAGGTTCACTGCCTGTTACATGGTATTCAGGCACTGGGTCTCAAGATGGAACTTTGTTTCTGGAGACAATGCAGGCGTGCAGAAGCTGGGATGCTCTGAGGCAAGCACAGTCCACTGGAAGCTCAATTAAACTCCACTCCCTGCTGCTGGCCTGCAAAAGGGATGCTGGTCGTGATTGCCAAGCACCTGGTCAGCCACAAGCTATGCCTGGTGGGCTGTGCTCTGCTTGGTGGCTCACAAATTGTATCAGTCAGAGAGATCAGTTTCTGGACCTCCAAAGCAAAGTATCGTACACATCAGAGAATGGGATTCTTCCTACTGATGACACAGGTACTGCAAAGGTTTGGTGTGCAAAATAAGGCCAAGTGTCCTTTTAGGGCTCAATCTGATGATATGAAGATTATGCATCTCCCTCTACTAATAAAATGAAAACTGGAGGCTTGGGTAGCCTCAATTTACCTCTGGGTCATGCAGTTAAGGGAGAGGGAGACTTGATCCCTCCATCCTCAGTTTGAAACTTGGCTTCCTCCTGTGTTACTAGCTTTTGCGGGGGGGCGGATTATTCTTTAAAACTGCATTTTTCCTCCTTTAAAGAAACAGGGAGCCCAGTTTCCAATAACAAAACCAAGTGGAAATTTTTATATATATATAATTTTTATTGATTTTCCACTACAAACTACAAAACTAAAACTACAAAAGAGAGTAGCAAGGTACTTTGATAAACTATTCATACGCTTTGGATATTTATCTACATGTTTATGGTTACATTATTTAAGTTCTAATAAAAGCATTCAAATAGAAAGAACAAAAAGACATTTTTGGTTATTATATCACATCTGGATGATAATATAAGTTCATTAAATGTCAAGATAGGCAATCTCAGATCTTCACTTAGGTTTCTTCTTGTCTTTACTTTTCTTCTTCTTTTGCCAGGGGAGATTAACTTTGAGAGCTTTGGGAGCAGCTTATCCTAGATCGGATTCAGAGTCAGAGTCAAAGATTGCACCCAAAGATATGGAAGTAGCTGTAGAGGATGAATTATCCGTATCAGATTTCTGTTGTTCACTGGTTTTTTCCGTTGCCTTCCCTTTCTCTGCTCCATTTCTTTGTTTAGTTGGAGTTTGTTGTTGCTTAGGAAATAGTTCTGCTTTTAATAAAGAGTCAATCTTTTCCTTCTTCTCATTAAAGTTGAATATAAGTCCTTCTGGAAGAAACCATCTGTACTGGACATTGTTCTTTTGAAGAAATGCTGTAATATTTCTGTATTGCTTCCTTTTCTTACGTATTTCATATGGAACATCTTTCAATATTTTTATCTCCTCTTCTTGAATTTTAACTGTTGCAGCTGTGGATGCTTTTAGTATTAAGCCTCTTGTTGATCTTTTTGCAAATTTCACAAACATTTCCACTGGGAGATATGTTTTTTTTTACGAACTCTTAATAGGTTCTGTAAATCATGCCAATATCTGCTTGTATTATTTCAGGTTTGTTATTGATCAAGGGGGCCATTGCTTCACTTAAGATTTCTCTTAAATTCTCATCCT